CTGAACCGACAGTTAACCGGACCGTGCATTGCCCAGCCAACTTTTTTCTCTGCAACCACTTCATGTTCAAATAATCATCAATTACGATTTATTTTACGCATAATTGGACGCAATAATCTATAATTAATATTATTTAATCAGATTGTCACTAAATCGAAAAAAAATAATTTTAAATTTTAGAAAATATGGTTCTTTTCATCTTCAATTTTATGTTGAAAAAAATTAAAGAAAAAAGAGGGCTCAGATTAGTCCTATCATGTTTTGTGAACTTCTCAAATGCTATTTTAGTATTTCAGATTGAATTTTGTACGGTAAAAAACTAATTTAAATTTCCTGAAAACTACCAAGAAGACAAGATAATTGGATTTTTTTTTTATCTAATAACATTTCAAAACTCGATTTTCCTAATAAAACCAAGCAGTACAGTATGTTCAAAATTATTTATTAAAGATAAGAAAAAACAAAAAGAATAAAACGATAGTTAGTTAGATAAAACACACATATAATAGGTCACATTTTAAAAAATAAAAAATTGACAAAAATACATATGTTGTCTATTTTCTATACTACAAATATCTCAACAGTAAACCACTGTCTTTGCAAATATCACACATAATATGCTATAAATATATATTTATATTTATATATTTTATTCCATTCGATTTTTCTCATTATTATATTTTTTATGTATATATATAAAAAATTATGACTATCTCAATGATTTAATGATTGATTACAAAATTTATTACTGTTGCTCGATTAAAACATTTTCATCTATTGGGTTTGTTTTGAATATATTATCTATTGTTTTAAATGTCTCTTTTTAATTTTAATTAAAGTTATACGTATAAATTTTTCAATTAAGATTGTTAAGATGAAAAAACCAATAATAAATACATCGCCAAATCATCAATATACTATCAGAATGAAAAACCGAGTGTATTCTAATTTGAAATGATTAACTTCAAATAATGTGATTGCAATTATGTCTTCATTTTTGTCATGCATATATTTAAATATGCTATGTGTATTTTGAAATCATAGGTTTGTTGTGTGATGGTATTTAACGACGTTCATACCTAACATATCATTATAAATTGGCCATTAAACTATAAGGGAAAAATCCCAAAAAAATTATCGAACTTAGAGATAGCTGACATATTAATACCGAACTTTTCCAACTTCCAAATTAAATATGAACTTGTCGATTTTGACACAAAAAATATTGAACTTGTAAATCTTTGACAAAAACCTCATCGACGTTAAACGGCGTTAAATCGACCAACGGTTGAGCTGATGTAGCGGATGACTCAACGCCTCGTCATCTATATTAAATAATAAAAAGAAAAAAATAAAAAATATTAAATAATAAAAAGAAAAAAATAAAAAAAAAATAAAAATTTAAAATTTAAATTTTAAATAAAAATAAAAAACTAAAAATTTAAAATTTAAAATTTAAAATTTAAATTAAAAATTTAAAATTAAAAATTGAAATTTAAAACTAAAATTTAAAATAAAAAATAAAAACAAAAACAAAAAATATACAATATACAATATATATATATATACACATAAAATAGTAACTATTAAATGTATATATTTATTAATATATACATATATACATATACATAAATATATATATATATATATATATATACATATGAATTTGTGAATGTAAGTATATATATGTTTATGTATATATACATATATATAATATTAAATATTAAATTTGTATATATATATATATGTGTGTATATATATATACATATACATATTTAATTTTTAAGATTATATATATATATATGACTATATATATTGCATATAAATTATATATTTTTAAATTTTTATGTTAAATTTTTATGTTAAATTTTTATGTTAAATTCTAAATTTCGTTTTTTATTTTACTTTTTTACTTTTACTCTTTTTAATTTTTATTAATTTTTATTTTATTTTTTAATTATAATTCAAATTATTTTTATTTTTATTTTTAAAATGCTTATCTGACGTGGCGGATGACGAGGCGTTGATGTAGAAAATAAAAAATGAGAATATGTTTGACAGATTCCCCCTCAAGATTGACTTGGAGAAATATCGAAAAGCCAATCTTGACGAGCAAATGCCTTCATCGTTGTAAAAGTTTGTCCATGCACGTTGAATCTGCTTCCATTGTTGCATTATCTTCCATAACTCCCCTTCAGAATTGCAATGCATCTCTAGACTAGTTCCTAAATTCTATAAATACTCACGAGTCCAATTAAAATACACAAAGGAGGCCAAAGCACTCCGTTTTATATTTAAAACAAAAAATAATGTTGCAAAAACGTGATTATAATCAAACAAGAGAAGATAGAGTGTTTTACCATTGGTTTGAATTTTCACCTTACATTCTCCCTCAGACCAACGGTCTGGAAAGAAGTCCTTGGGAAAAACATAAATTTCCCCCTTAACCGAATGAAGTCATTCCGTGTCGTATTGAATAGATTTGGATTGTAACATCATTGCCTTGGTCATCGCTTCACTTTGGAAATTATGTTCCTCTTGGAAGTCGTCCACCATGGTTATTGTCTCTATCTGCCCCTCACTTTGTCTTTCTTCATCTGTTCCTAAGATCTGATCGTTTTCAGATTGCATAATGATTTCGTTTGCCTCTGCAGTTTCATCATTATCCATGTCGGTTGTGATGGATATTTTCTTTTCTGTGGGGATTGTGGCTGCTTGGTCCTCCTCGGAGTGCACCACTTTGTTCCCATCATCTTGTTGATAGATGGCCTCATCCTTTAGCCTCTGCAAAACTTTAGCACAAAAACTGTAATAGGCATCATTATAGTATTCGGTTTCGCTATACTTACATGTTGTTCTCCCTTGGAGCAGTCTGCCTAACTCCACTTTGCTCACCATCGCCCTAACTTCGTTAATAGATGGTAGAGATTCCTCATCGAGTATTTGAAGACTCAATTCGTTGAATGAACCGTCTAGCATGGAGAGATAAACAAGGGCTGCATTGATGTTGGCTCTTTCGTTGCTACTTGATGCGGGATGAAGTGCTTCAAGCTTTGACCAAAGAATCGTGCTTTCACTTTTCATCTGCTCCAAAGGCATTTCATTTGTGACATTACGGATGAAATTAAGAGCTCTTATATATGTGAAAGTTTCAAGGACTTTTGAATCCTTCTTTGGCATATAAAACTCCATTATTGTGATGGAGATTTAACTGCGGAAATGAAAAGAAAAGAAAAATCACAGAGGGGTCCAAGGACCTTGGTGCTCTGATACCATGTAGAAAAATAAAATGCGGAAATAAAATAAGACAAATAGAAAGGAACGGAATTACTTTTATTGTTACATCTCTTCTTCTTCTTGTTTCATTACAATGAAAATAACTCACATATTTATAGGAAAATTAACAAATGAAATAAAAGGAAATATAGATATAACGGAAATAAATATGATTCACAATATTTAACATAATATTGTGTTCCTCCAAAATTTAGATTTTCCTCCAATCACATATTCATTTTCCTACTTCAACATTCCCCCTCAAGATTGATTTTGAAAGAATGCAAAAATCAATCTTGAAAAGATAATGCGATAAAAATCCATAGATATTTTCATTGTCTTTTGAAAAATCCATAAACACCAAATTTAGTTCTTTTAGAGAATATTACCCATGTTTAAATCACTTCGCTTGACTTTGAAGTTCTACCTTTAACTCTTTTTGTCATAACACCTCGCTTGATCTTAGAGTTTTTAGGTTTGACTTCTTTTTATCACAGCACCTCGTTTGATTTTGGGATTTTTACTTCTATTTGAACGATTTGGATATATGAACATCCAAAACTAAAAAAAAAAAGAGATTGAGAAAAAAAAAGATAAAGAGCAGATCGAACCAGGCTCTGATACCACGTAGAAAATAAAGAATGAGAATATGTTTGACAGATTCCGAAGAAGAAAAGAGATTGAGTTCGGTTTTGTAGAAATCCGATTTAGGATTCAAAAGACGAGATGAACAGGGGATGAATACAGGAACATTCACTTTATTCCCTTAATCCTAAATTACATCATATTATGTGCATATATACACGCTTGAGAGAATGTTGAAGCCAACGGATACATGTGTACATAAATGTCAGAAATAGGTAAATAAAGAAATGACTATATTTTGATAGATATGTTGCTCCATTATAGCCAAAGTTTCCTTGCGTGATATTTGTCCTCTTGTACACTTGGTAAGTTGTCAATTGTCGTGATCCTCTTTCCATTTTGTATAAATAGATGCCATCGAATTGCCATAACATTGTTTTCTCTTAGATTGATTTTTGGCTTCGGTTCGGTTGACGCTCTCATGTGTGTATTCTTTAACAGTTGAATCATCCACCACATGAGCTTAACCGTTGATCGATTTAATGCCGTTTAACGTCAATGAGGTTTTTGTCAAAGATTTATAAGTTCAATATTTTTTATGTCAAAATCAACGAGTTCATATTTAATTTGAAAGTTGGAAAAGTTCAGTATTAACATGTCAACTATCTCCAAATTCGGTAATTTTTTTGGGATTTTCTCTATAAGAAACTACAATCGAAAATAATTTATATAAAAATTAATTAAAAATATTATAAATATCTTATTATTTCAACGCTTTTCCGATATTATTTAATTAAAAATATTAAAATAGATTTTTCAACACAACGTGTAAAAATATATGACAGAAAATATCCAATTACAATATATATTCATAAATTTGATTTTTAAAAATATATACAATTACATTAATAAGTTTATTCAATATAAGAATGATTTTATAATATAATAATATTTAAATTCTTTCATTTTTTACGTTTTTTCATATATATATATATATTGATCTAATAAGATAATTTATGTTATAATCATATCAACGAATTTTCATTTAAGTTATAATTTATAATGAAAAGGTAAACAATTTATAATAATAATAACAAAAATATCCGACGCGCGGTTATCTCCTAGTAATTTATTTTGTGTTGGCAGAAGGGAGCAAAACGACATGAACCCCTGTCGTTTTCGGAGCTTCCGACTTCGAAGCTCAGAGCCCTGCAATCTTGTTCACGATACGATACTCTCGTCGCGCGTCGTCGAGGAGCCGAAACGAAGAAGACGACGGTGACGAATCTGCACTGGTCGGATTAGGGTTTCCAAAGATTATTCTGTAAGGATCGGGCAACTGAATCGGACATGGCACACGACTCAGAGAAGAGGTTCCACCAGATCATGGACAAGCTCTTCAGTCCTCCTTCAAAGTCTCCTCTTTCTTCTTCCTCTACCAGGTACCCTTCTTCTTCGTCTTCTTCCTCAGTTTCCTTTGATGGGTTTTTTCTGGAGGGTTTTTCCCCATTTTTGTTTGGTTGTTAATGAAACGCGAGAAAAAAAGTTCGAAAGGTTGATTTCACGGAAGCCAAGCGTTAATTTCGTCTTTTATGGTCACTAATGACTTTGCATCTTTGAGATTAGGGACGTTTGTAGACATAAGACCTCTTTGATTTGCGAATTTGTATGGTAAACTTCTAGTCCTTTTCAATATTGACAATGCAATGTCTATGAATTTGGGTTCTGTTCATGTTTTAAGTGAAAAACTTTCTAGCTACCATCTTGAATCAGAGCTTGCTAAGATTTCTTAGCATTAGCGCATTGCAGTGATACTGTAGTAATGAATGACCCTTGTATTGTCTTAGCTAGTGCTAGAAAATGATGCATTTTATGAACCCTTAAGCTACAGATTTGAGTTTTGGCCTAAGGGTTTCCTTAGTTTGGTTTTGTGTCTTATCCCTGTGTTCATACGCTATTCTCTGTTTATGTAGTTCACCTGGAGAGCAACAATCTAGAGGCAAAAAGCGTCCTAATCCTTCATCTGCCTTGGCATTGGTGGAGCCAAGAACTGGGTTAGATGCTACTGATAGGCGTATGAATCTCACAGCTTCATCCGGGTCATCGCATTCTGCTCTTTGCAGGCCATGGGACAGAGGAGATCTAATGAAGAGATTATCTACGTTTAAGTCCATGATGTGGTTTGCTAAGCCCCAGGTCTGTCCTTCCGGTTTCTGAAATAAAAAACCTTCAAACTAAATTCTTCTCGTTTGTATGATTTGATGTTGCAATATGCTGCTGCTCTCTCTCATTTGAGTGTATAGTTGGGTCATTTCCATCTGATCGTTGCTAAATTCTTGCTTTGAAGTTTTTAGTTGACAAATTTCTGTGTTGTAGGTTATCAGTGCTGTAAATTGTGCGAGGAGAGGATGGGTGAATGTTGATATGGACACCTTAGCTTGTGAATCTTGTGGAGCTCATCTTCTCTTTTCAACCCCATCTTCCTGGTCAAGGCAACAAGGTATGGCCTAATGTCTTTTGTGAATTATCACTGTCTAGCTTTGATTTTGTGAATCTATAAAGTTCTCAGTTAAAGTAGATATCTTATCAATGTGTTACAGTGGAGAAAGCGGCATCAGTCTTCAGCTTAAAGCTTGATAGTGGACACAAACTGCTTTGCCCATGGATAGATAATTCCTGTGAAGAAACCCTAGCTGATTTCCCTCCATTGACACCGCAGGATCTAGTAGACAGATTTCAAGAACGGTCAGATGCATTGCTTCAACTCCTGGCCCTGCCAGTGGTTTCACCGTCGGCCATTGAGTACATGAAGAGCCCTGAGCTGGAAGAGTTTCTCAAACAACCCATTACGCCATTATCTGGCAACATGCCTGGTGAATTTTCTCGACCGCAGTCCCTTGGCGACACTTCTGAGTTTAGCTCAGCTCAACTTTTCTATCAGGTTTGAGCTTCTACACTCTGGTTATCTCAATTATTCTTTTGAACAATTTGGACAGCCATTACGTTATCTGTATTGTAACATTTATTTTGCCTATGTTTTGCTTCAAGGTACTTTGATTGTTCAATTAGATGATTCTCATGTTAGCTTGCCCTCTATCAATACACTTCAAACTGATCCATCTGAAGAAGTATCTCTACTTATGATCATCTTGATTAACTCGATGCATCCATGCATGTCATAAGAACAGCTTAGTGTCCCTTCTTATTACTTTGAATGCCTACTGCACCCTTTTCCTTCCTCAGTGCAATATTGGTACATCTACAAGTTTTATCTGATGATATCAGTCTGGACATTCGCAGGCACAAAAACTTATAAGTTTATGTGGCTGGGAACCACGGGCACTTCCTTATATAGTGGATTGTAAGGAGAAGCCAGGTGATTCGTCAAGAACTACAAGTGTTGTCGATTTATTGCCAGAACCTGCTACAGGCAAGCTTCTAAGTGTATCCACTCAAACCTCCTTCACAAGTGGGATTCCTGAGAATGGTGCAAACCCGGTAAACCATGAATCTTTAAGGTCTGATCCCAATTCTGTTGTTCTGGACTGCAAGCTCTGTGGAGCCTGTGCTGGACTCTGGGTTTTCTCTGTCGTTCCAAGACCACTAGAGTTGCATAGAGTCACCGGTTATACGGAAGTCAATAGACAAAAAGATTCTGGGGGTCATGATTCAGGAAGCAATACTCTTCCTAACCAGAGAGCTAATGTCTTGGAACAAAACTCAAGTTTAAACTTTACCATAGCAGGAGGGCCTCCAGCAACAAAGCAGAACTTCAAAGCAACGATATCGTTTCCTATCATTGGTAGGAACTTGAGGTTGAGGTTTGCTTCTGAGTTTAGAGATCCCACACAGGGAAACCGTGATTGTGTGATTTCATCTGGGAGCGAAAAGATAGGTCTTATAGAGAATGGAAAAGGTGATCAGGGGAACAATGGTGATATTCAGGATCAGCAGTTAAAAACTGCTGAGAACAGTGATGGTGCTAAAGAGAATAATGATCAAGAAATGGCTGACACTGAAGAGATCAGAACTGAGAATGGAAGAAGCGACCCTAATGTTACCGTGAATACTGAACTACAATCCAAAGACCAGGAAGTCATGGCTGAGAAATCTCTTCACGAAAACAACAAACAAAAGCATTCAACTTCAGGTAACTTTCGGTATAGCAATTTGTTTCGAGTGCATAACATGGATGTTTACTATAAGCGCTGATCCTATGCATCACAAACTAGTTATTATATCTAAAGAATCCTTGTGCATATATATAGTCTCTTCCTTTGGAGTATGTTTGGCTAAAAATATGATGAACCCATCATTATCAGGTCAAATAGCAGCTTCAAGCAAACAGATGGAGTTTGATCCAATCAGGCAACATAGGCATTTTTGTCCTTGGATCTTGCCAACTGGTAGGAGAGGCCCTGGATGGAGACAGACTCTGTCTGCGTTACAACGCCAGAGAGAATCTTCTCAGAGTTCCCCATCAGCCACTTCCTTGCTCAAGGTAGATTCCGTGGCTATTTCTTTAGCTTTTGACGTAGTTGTTCGATTTCCTAGGCATGGTAACACGTGTTTAGAGTTCGGATGCTATGTTTAAACAGATTGTTATTGGGACCCATAGATAGAACTTACCCTGAAAAGCTAAATCCAATATTTGTTCAATATGGGATCATAATACATACCTTTTTATAGAGTAGTGGGTTCAAATCTAAAACGCAGGTATAGCAAAAAGCACCAAAGTTGTGATTGTGGTTCATCCTGTTTGTTTGTCTGGCTTACAATGAATGAAGAACAAATCAATTTCACCCGATCATGTCGTCTGGATCTGGATCATCACCCGATTGCATGATTTAGATCGAAACCTGTGTCTCTATTGCATATTCCACAACTTTCGCGTAGACATCTTTCGGGTTTCGTCATTCAATCACTGTTTGATGTTTCAGTATTCTTACTCGAAAGTCTTCGATGTTCCTCTGTTCGTGATCTCGTTAGGTGGATGATCCTATCACCTGTGTCCGGAACCTCTTCAAGTCTCCATCGGCAAAGAGACAGAAGCCGAACAGTGGATCTTCACCCTGATACCAGAAATTTTATGGCCCTTTGATCTCAAAGGTTGTGACAATAGTACACAAGTTGTGAGAAAGTTTTCATCTTTTTGAGTATTTGGAAGGAACACTCATGTCTTGAATCATTGAATGTTGGAATCTTCTCTGTTGTCTTCTAATCATGTCTCAAAATTCTCTGTTGTAGATTTTTTTTTCCATTTTTGTCTAATATCTAATTTAATCTCCAAAAAATCATGATTCAATTCTTCATATGTCAAGAGTATTATTGTTTTTTTGTCAAATTAACTTATATGGTGAAATAGGAAACAAGACTAGAGAGCGTTTTTTTTTTGTGACAAGATAGTTAAAAAAAATGAAGTCATTAGGTTTTATCCCAAATGACTTTTAAGTTTTAACCATCCATACAAATTTCATTTTGTCACAATTTCACAATGTTTTTTATTGAAATTAAATTTATACATTCACTTTTGTTTTTTTTCCCTAAAAAAATATATGTTTCATCGTATTTTAAAAATCATATTTGTGGCTAATGGTTCATTCATAGCTTTAAACATTTTAAATTCGAATTTTGGAAATTTCACATAAATATTTGTAAAGTTGGTAAAGTGGGCCGAGACTAACAAAATATTTAGTATCGTCTGCTTAAATATAATTTGTGACTCGATAAGGCCCATAATTAATACAAAAGAGTTTTCATAAACAAAAAGGGTAACTTCCAAATGTGCTACAAGGACTTCTAGTGCTACCTTTCTCATGAAAAAAAAAATTCAACTTCTAATTTACTCCTTTCATTCACAAATTACACAAATACCCTTTAGAATAAATTTAAAAAAAAAACTCTCTTTTTTTAGGGTTTCTCTTTCTTCAAAAACGGTTTATCTCTCCTCCTCTCGCCGTTGTCGACTAAGCTCTCTCTCTCTACTGCGTTTTCTCTCTCCTCCTCATTTTGCTATTTTGTCTTCAAAATTTGTCGAATTTGGACAAAATTACGGGCAAATCAAGACGAAATCAGTGACGAAAGTGGAAATATGTAAGTTTGTGTCGAAATCTCAGTTTTTTTTATACATATTAATGGTTGTTGCGGTTTTTTTCCTTCCAATTGTTGTGTTTTCTGTAGTTGTGTCATTTGTAAACAAAGATCTATATCAGATCTGCATTTTGGATGCATTCCGGGCAACATGGGTATATGGGTCACAATGATCACAATGTGCACAACACTTATACGGGTGATTATAGAAACATGACACAATGGTCACAATGTGCATCATACAAATAGATTAGGGGTTATGTAGTGAAGTGGTCACGCGGTCACACTATTACAGGGTCACTTGGTCACATGGTTCATGAGTCATTAGGAAAATCAGTCACATGGGTGACAACAGGAATAGAGTCACAATAGTCACAAGGTCACAATGTCACAAGGTCAGAAGGTCACAAGGTCACAAGGTCACAAGGTCACAAGGTCACATGATCACATGGTCACATGGTCACATGTTCCATAATGGTCAGATTGGTAATAATGGTCACAAGGTCACATAGTCGCATGATTACATGATCACAATATTGAGAATGGTCGAATTGATCTTCATTTTGTAACTCTGTTTTCCAGTGGTATAATGGATGGGCGAGACGAGAGGTCAACAATTATATATTTTCTATATGCCGGTGCTTGGATATAGAATAAGAATGGAGAATATGAATGGGAATGAAGGGTTATGGAAAACCAAAGATTGTTATTCTTTTGTCCTCCCTTGGAGATGACCTACAGTGAACTTGTTCGAGAGTTATGTTCGGAGATGAAGGTGGATAAAGATAAAGTAAAGATGAAGCTGAACTATTTACTAAATATAAAAGAAAACAGAAAACCCACCTACCTATGGAATGACAAGCATGTTGTGGTCCCCGATGGCTATCGGATGTTGCAAATGTTATGGTTATGCCTCCTATAATGGATGAGAAACGACAATGTGGGAGGCTTAAACAAAATCGGTATCTTGGTCGTGGTGAAGCATGGAAGAGAATCAAATGTGTAGCGGGAACATCAACATCGACAATGTCAGAGAGAACAACTATTTTGGAGTGAAAAACATCGACAATGTTGAAAATCTGTATAATAATTGTGTGGTGTATTGGTATTATGAGGTGTTTGCAAGACATTTGTACAATAATGTCAAAGAACTTTGGTTAATGATATTGTAATGTGTTTATATAATGTAATGATATATAATATTGTGTTTATACCATAATAAAGATGTATTAATATTGAAGATGAATTTTGACATATATCTGGTTTAAGTTAGACACTATATGATTTGACTCACATGAGACAACGTTGTGACCATTGTGACCAGCATGTGACCATGTGACCGAAGTGCAATTTTACACTGTGTGACCATTGTGACCGACTGTGACCCGTGACCGAAATGTATTGATAAATATAAACCAAACTTGAATTTTAAAGCTTGAGGATGGTTTATCAGAGTGTATATATCAAATATATAGTGTTAGAGGCAAAATTTAATTTTATTTAAATGGGTTTGTAAAAGAAATATGTCAATTTTGCCAAAATCACTCATAAAACAATATGAAACATATAGGAACACATTTTGAATACCAACTTTGAAACCAAAAAAATCATCAAACCCATATTTTATTGTTCAAATCAATATAAAATAGGCTTATGAGGTATGTGTGACGTTGTACACTGATTAAATTGACAAAAATCGCATGGATCGAAAGTTGTGACCGGTTGTGACCCATTGTGACCGAAATATGTTGTGAGACCCATACGAAGAAATAGTCAGAATTCGCCAGATTTTTTGTAGGTCCCAGTTTGAATATTCAACTCTATATTTATTTTCCTTCCCAAATTTTAACCCTAAAATTTTTTCCTCCAAATTTTAACCCTATATTTTTTCCTCCTAAATTTTAACCCTAAAATTTTTTTCTCCCAATTTTTAACCCTATATTTTTTTCCTCTCAAATTTTAACCCCTAATTTTCATCTATTAAATTTTAACCCCATAATTTTCTATAAAAACATTAAGAATCCAAGATTTTTTTCAACTTAATCCAAACAAACATAAATACTAATAAAAAAGATAATGTCAAACAAACAAAAGTAGTCTTAAAAAGGGTTCAAAACAATATAAATGTAAAAAAGGTTTAGAAATCGTTCACTCTCTCTTCTTCTTAAACCTCTGAGGCTTGCCATTAGCGAATATTGCTATTGGTAGTTGTTCACGGATTAGCGTGACATTGTCATTGCATATCAACGGTAATAGCATCCGCTCTTTGGCAAGGCAAATGACTTCGATGTACTTCACTGCGAAAACCCCGCATTCTTCCCTATTGTTTTGGGGTACATCCTGCACATACTCAATGTCCAATATATCTCCATCAGCAAAAGCTTCCGACCCAGTGAGACAACACAACTTCGGAACGACATGACAGAGTTTTTGAACTGCCTCTATCGCCTTTTCCTGCAGTTTGGCTTGACACTCGTAGATTTCCAAAGTTTTCTCACTGAAATCCACTTTAATGGCAATCCAATTGCAATTGATTTCATCATTGCTAAATCTGAGAATATTAAGCACACTCACGAATCCCTCGTAGCTGATCAACGATGTCTCTGCACAGCCAATTGGAAGCCTTCCATTGAAGTATGGTTGTAGATCGCCCAAAGTTGTCATATCTCCCGATTCGGCCCATGTATTTATTAACTCAGCAAACATGGTGTCACACACCAAGTAATTGCATCCAATGAAGGTCACGTGATTCTTTATAACGCGGGTTCGGAGTTCATACATCGCCTCATCCATGTGCTACAGAATAAAACAATACATGTTAGTAAATACAATCAACATCAAATCTTGAGATTCTGTGATCATGTGATCTTGTGACCATGGGATCGTGACCGTGTGACCACGTGACTGTGTGATTGTGTCTGTGTGATTGTGATTGTGTGATTGTGATTATATGACCGAGTACACTTATAGTATCTGTGAGTCATAGTCCGACTTCCAAAAGCGTGACCTTGTGATTATATAAACATGACACTGAGACCTTTGAGACTGTGACCTAGTGACTATACAAACTGTGACTGTGACCGTAAGATCATAGCATTTGAATCCTTAGGTCATCCGATTCTTCATGACAATCTATACATCCATCGACCCATACCGTGTTCTGTCCTATATCAATTGTCTTATTTGACTAAAACTCATCCATTGTGACCGAAACTCAACCATCTCACTCGATTTTAATCAAAAAGTCTCAAACCAAAATTCTATTTCGAAATCCCCAAATTTCAAAAATGCCCAAAACCCTAATGCGCTATCCTTCAAATTCCCAACTCACACTTCAATCGAACAACAACTATGTTCATCTAACTCCGAAATTTGCAAAGAAATTGAAGTTTAACTTACCTTGTGTCCATCTAACTCCGAAATCTCCATATGGCTGTCACTTTCGCTCGAAGAATGTGACGAAAACCCTGAATTTGCCATTTTTTTCCAGTCGCGCATTGCTTCTTCTGTCTCCCCAAAGAGAGAGCGTCGAGAGAAAATGAAACTTAGGGCAGTTTACGGGAACGGTTCGGTGGTTTCGAGCGAGAGAGAAGACGTGGCTGAGAAAAATCGCGAGTTTTAGAAGAGAGAGAGACGAATCATGAGTGAAGAGAGAGAGAAGACGTGACTGATGAGAGAGAGAGAAGACATGACTGAGGAGAGAGATGTTACCATGCTTCTCTTTATTTTTTTTTCTTTCAGATTTTTGTTCAAAATTTATCAGGTTTTTTGGTCTATTCATAAATGTTTGGGGTTTTTTTGTGTCATTTGCTATGATAAGGAATCTTTTTTGTTTAATTTTTTGTTTCAAGGGTAGTATCAGAAGTTGGAATAGCAGTCAAAGGGTATTGCGGATATATTGCCAAACAAAAACCCATTTTAAAAAGAAAAAAAAAATAAATAAAAGCTAGTAATGACATATTGGCATAACCGATTAGGCTTTAATAAATTATCGGTTTGGGCGTTTAGCCCAATAACAATAGTTAAATGGATTGAGTCAATCCATAAAACCCATAAAACTCATTTAATCACTTTAATATTTTAAATCTTTTCTAACAAGAATTTAAAAAAAAATATTCCATTAGATTATCATCCTATTTTTTTTAGGATTTAAAAAGAAATGTTTTCCGTAATTTTAAAATACTAAAAAAATGATTTTATATACGTTAATTTAATTATATATATATATATATATATATATATATATATTAAATTACGTTAATATCAATATCCAACAAATAAAATAAACAATATATACAAATAAAAGATTCAAATTAAGTTCATTTCGAAATCATTTCGAATCAATTCGATTGATTAAATTTGAATCGATCTATTTTGATTCGTTTTGAATCGAATTCGGTTTAATTTGGATCGAATTGATCGTTTTGAGTCGAATTCAATTAAAATCAAATAGATATGTTTTGATTTGTTCCGAGTCGAATTCGATTCGAATCAAATCGATATGTTTTGATTCGTTTCCAGTCGAATTCGATTCGAATCGAATTGATTGTTTTGATTCGTTTCGAGTCAAATTCGATTAAATGATCAAATCGATCCGTTTTAATTTGTTTCGAGTCGAATTCGATTTGGATACAATTGATATGTTTGGATTCCGTTGAGTTGAATTCGATTCAAATCGATTGTTTTGATTTGTTTCGAGTCGAATTCGATTTGATTCGAATTGAATTGATGTTTTGATTCGTTTCGAGTCAAATTCAATTAAAAGATCAAATCAATCCGTTTTGATTCGTTTCGAGTCGAATTTGATTCGGATCGAATCGATCCATTTTGAACCGGATTCGATTCGGATCGAATCGATCCGTTTGGAGCCAAATTCGATTTGGATAGATTTATCTCGGTCCAAATTTGATTTTTATTATAAAATTCTCATTTTTAATAAAAAAAATCAGTTTTTTTAATTATTTTATATTTGATTTGAATTCAATTTTTATTTTTAAATAATTTTTGTACATTTAATTTTATATCGAATTTGAATAAATAATTCATATTAATTCAATTTTTATTTTGAAATATAAATATATTGACTTTATTTATAAATATATTTTTAATATTTTATTTAATCAAAACTAAATTAGTAATTAAAGAATGTAATGTTTAATAGATTATTTGGATTAACCCATTAAAACCAATTAAAATCCATTTGACCTATAAAATAATTATAACCCAAAAAATAATCCAAATATAATAATAATTGGGTTGGGTTAAACCATCTAACCCATACCAATTTGAGATCTATAATGTTAAAAGTCCTTGAGAACAATAAGCGCGTAAACGAAGGGGATGGCAGCACACGCGCAGAAGGAACGCGTGATGCAATCCACAGATATTTTCGTTATTAATGTCGATTTGATTTCTAATGTCGATTTAATTTCGAATATCTCTTTTTTTTTTTTAACGTAAAACTCAAAAGGCAACACTTTTTTTTTTTACATTAATGCCACTCTAAAAGGTATCCTTACAACAATTTAATGAAAAATGTGCATGTCTATAACCACAAAAACATTGGCCAAAATAAACACGATAATTTTCTCATATTAGATATTAAATACAGATTTGATTATGATAGCATCCATAAAAAAAAATTAAAATTAGATCCAAAAACGAACGAGGCTTATTCTGAATGTATAAGATTTAAATGTTTCGATTTGAACTCCTTTTAGAAAGAAACAAACTTAATTGCAGAGGTAAAAAATATTGCCAAATAGTTTTAAGATGGCAGTGAGGGTATCCGAACTTCATCTCGATCTCATCGGATTTTTTATTGTAATATCGCGATCTTTATCTTACAAAATCCGGGTATCCACGACTCGGGTATTCACAAGATCCAAATCCGAACCGGTGTATAATTAAAAAAAAAAACTGTGCAAATCTATAATACTTATACATTAACAACAACAACATAATTATAAGATGAATAAAATCTAAAATACATCAACATCCAAAACAATCTTTCAACATCTAAAACATAAATCCAAAATGTATCATCATAATTCTTGAACACATATGAAGAGCATACCTGCACAAATAAAAGAATATACACATCTAGATTAGATGTGAGTATTCGGACCAACCTCAACATGTGTGATAGATGAATTCAATGATTTTCCACAAAATCTGAAAAAAACAGAAGTCGATCCGGCGACGACAGAAAGACTTGAGACGAGATTTACTTGGAGACAGAGGAGATCCGAACGGCGGAGACAGGAAAAGCGAACGAGACGGAGGAGAATCGAACAGCGGAGACAGGGGAAAAGTGAACGATAGAGACGGAGGAGAATCGAACAGCGGTGACAAAGAAACAATGGTCAATCCGCGGGAGACAGAGAGACAGAGAGGCCGAGAGAGTTGCAAACTGTGGAGATCGCTTTTCTGAAGAAGAGAGTATGAGAGCAAATGTTGTGAATTAGAGTTAGGAGTGTTTTTGTAAATATATTAAAAATTAAAGATATTTTTATAATTTTTTTTACTGGGTACTCGTTTGATAACCCGTCGTAAAATTCTCGAATTCAACCCCGAACTTAAAACTTGAGTTTTTCATCTCACACAACCCGATCTCTATCTCATTATCTCACGACTAATAAATCTCGAATAGCCGCGAGAGAGGATATCCGGAAATACGTAGATCTCGGATAAAAATGTACACCCCTGGGTGGCAACACATTCACTCTTATCCAATAAGAAAACATGGTCCATGTTTTTATTAGTCTTTGGCCTACGCATTTCCATTATATATATATATATATATAATGAATACCCTTTTGTCCATAATTAAAAAAAAAACTTTCCCCCCCCTCATTTTATGTAATCTATACACACATATACACGTATAATGTATCTATATATACATGTGGGAACTCGGATACACATGGAGAGAAAATCACAAGAATTGCAACATTAACCGAACCCATTAATAACACTTCCAATCAGAACAAAATCTAGACATAGAGAGAGAAGAAAGCCCTTTTCCTTTTTGTTGCTATCTAGAGAGAGAGAGAGAGGAAACCCTTTTTCTCTTTGTTAGTATCTAGAGAGAGAGAGAGAGAGGGAGAGAGAGAGAATCCATGGGAGAGATGCAGAGGATAGTGGTGGTGGTGGAGGAGGAAGAAGCGGCGAAGACGGCCTTGCAATGGGCACTGCACAATCTCTTGCGTCTGGGTGACGTCATCGTCCTCCTCCACGTCTTCTCTCCTCCGCCGCGGCGCCGGAAGAAGAATTCTCCGGCGGCTTTGGCGGCAGCTCGGCTCCTCCGCCTCCGCGGATACCACCTCGCCCTCTCTTTCCGGCAAATCTGCGACGACTTCTTCAACGTCGGGTTTAAATTGATCGAATTTAAAAGTATGGGGTCTGAAACCAATGATTCGGTTGATTTGAGTCCTTTTTTGCAGACGAATACGGAGATAATTGTCAGAGAAGGAGATGAAGATGGGAAAACGATCGCGGAGGTTGTGAGAGAGATCGGTGCTTCTACGCTTCTCGTTGGTCTCCATCAGAACAGCTTCCTTTACAGGTACCATTTTGATCGAAACCAAAGTTACGGGGTTTTTCCGAAATACCTAACCTCCCCCTAGATGCACATTTTCATACCAAGAAGTAATTATCGAAGATGGAAAAGAATTAAAACTTCCCACTAAGTCCAGTTTTTTATGCTATTTTTTGTTGAATTAACATTTATGGAAATTTTCTATAAATAATTTAATTTGCAAATTTTATGTATAAAACAGGGGAAAACATATATATATATATACATACACACACACAAAAACAAAATGAATGAATACAAAATAGATAAAGCAAAAATAATATAAGAACATTGACCCTGCACAAGTTGATAAATTAATAGTCGATCGAGTTAAAATAAATATAAGAATATTTTATTAAATAAAATATTATATCCTTTTCTTAAGTTATGATTATTATGATTTGTGTAGATGGGCAGATAGAGCAAAATGAATGGATACATATAGATAGGGCAAAAATGACCTAATAGCATTGAATACAAAGTGACAAATTTATAATTCAGTAGAGTTAAAAGATAGTAATTTTTTTAAAGTTACGATTATGATTGTGTAGATGGGCAATGAGAAGTTGTGAATGCAAAGTGTTGGCGGTGAAGCAACCGTCGCCGGAGATGTCGCCGGCGGCGAGGTCAAAAGGCGTAAGGTCGCCGCGGGGAAGTCCGGACAGTTCTACCAGCTTTGACTTTTCACAGATCGAAATTTCTGGTTTGCAGTAAGACCCCTAACCTTTTTGTTTCTTCTTTTTAAATCCCCAAAATGCATAATTTTGAAAAACAAATACAATGGTGGTTTCGACGATTCTTGATACTTGGGGTTAGGGGTGGGCAAAATAACCGAATCCGAATAACCGAACCGAACCCGACCGATAAATATCCGAACCGTACCGAACCGATTAAAATAATATACCCGATTGGATATAAATATTTCAAACCCGAAATATCCGAACCCGAAATAACCGATCGAATCCGAAATAACCGTAAACCGAATAAACCGAATCCAAAATAACTATAACCGAAAATATCCGTTTATCCATCTATATATCATCAATTAATATGTAATATATTCTAAATCTAATTAGAAAAAATTGTATAATGATATTGTTTTATAATCATAGTATATTAAAAAACGAAATATGCATGTATTTTAATGTTGTTTTTGTCATTTTTATCGTTTTTTTGTTTGGATAAACCGAACCGAACCCGATCCGAACCAAACCCAATCCGAACCCGAACCGATTAAAATAATATACCCGATTGGATATGAATATTTCGATCCGAAATATCCGAACCCGAAATAACCGAACCCGACCGATCGTCCACCCCTATTTGGGGTGGTCATATAATATTAATTAGAAAAACAAGTGTAAATATAGTCTCTCTAAAAAACTTATCCAAACAATAATATACACTGACATATATAACAAAAAATAAAATAAAATAATATACTCTGACATTTTTTTTTGTGTATTTTTGTTTTGAATTTTTTTGTTTTTGCTGAAACTTTCGGATGGTGGACAGGATGCCAGAGATTCCGACAGCAAAAGTGCCGTACAAAATATGTCCGAGTCCTCATGCCATAATTTGGAGAACAAGACCAAGCCGATGAAGTACACAGTAACACCACCTGCCGATAGCATTAGGATTGAAATAATTATATTTATTCGATTCGATGTTTTTATCGAATTTTAATTCGAATTAAAGAAAACATACTTTTAGAATATTGGATCTTCTCGATTGTATTCAGTCAAATTTTTTTTCCAATTATAATCAAATCCCCTACCAACTCCATTAACTTGATTTAAATATATATATATATATATATATATATATATATCTTATATATAAAAGTAGAGTTCATCTACTTTGCTTGACACGTGTCCTCAAATAGGAGTAAATTCACTTTGAGGTGAGAAGAGTTAATCTATCATTAATACATTAACTTATATATTGATTTTTTATATATATACATTGATATAGAGTAATGCATCACATATACAAATACGAAGGGTTAATTTAATACATATTCCCCTAATAATTTTTTTTATTTATATATATACATTGATATAGAGTAATGCATCACATATACAAATACGAAGGGTTACTTTAACACATGTTCCCCTAATAATTTTTTTTAAAAAAAATCTATTATTAAATTAATATCTTACTTTTAGTTTATCATTATTTATTTGCATTTATTAAATAGATTATTGTTTAAAATTTATTAAATAGATTATTTTTTTAAAATAGGCAACGCTTTCTATTTAATGTATTAGCTTAATTTAAAAGTTCCTATTAAAAATATAATTTTTTTAATATGTATATATATATATATATCATATATATAAAAGTACAGTTCCGTGAAACGGGAGCATGACACGTGTCTACTCTTTAGAATATGAAAGGTTACAAATCTCCCCATTAATTATTTATACATTAACAAAAATCGAAATTATTCTTATTTAAATACATTCATTTATTAATTTTTTTTATTAGTTCTAACAAATGAAATACATTGACTGTTAATTTATATTAATTACAATTTTTCTGATTTTTTTTCAATACATCTATAATATTAACCGTTTATACAGATTCAATTAATTTTTATCCGATTCAACGAATATCATTTATTATTTTCTTTAAGTTTAATATAAGTTAAATGCATTTATTCTTAAAATTGCTTATAAATTGATGAGTGTTACACAAATTCCTCGCTAACATCAAAACCGAAATCAAAAAAAGATTTTAATCGATTAAAATCTACCAATTTTTTAAAAAAAACTGTTGTTGAAAATGATTCGAACTTCGTAGATAAACAATATGTTCTGTTTCATTTTTTTTCTTCGTTATTTTAGTTTTCTCTAATTTTTTGAATAAGTTTAATATTCTTCCAGTGAAATCGAGGCCGGTTTTGATGAAGAGCATCACATCCTCGCTTATTTACATCGCTGCTGATTTGTCTTCTCAGGTAATCATATAAAGTTTTGATTTTTTCTGTTCTAACTTTGATGGGTTATGACGATTTAAATTCTGGGAAATTATGGCGTTTTTGGTGGTTTTCATGAACTTTTTTTATAGGTCTTTAATATGATTGTTATAAACTCGATTTTAGAAAATCTGGTGATGCTGTTGAAGGTGTTTCTTTGTTTAAGGGTATGCAATTCGAATCCGTTTCAGAGTAAAAAGATAGAAAACAGAACATAAAGTTACAAGCTTTTTGAAAGTGTTCAATGAAGAAAGAACAGAAGCAAAGGAAGACAAAAGAGGAGACGAAAACGAATACATTACTTTGAATTCAGTGTGCTTCCATGATCTGAACTTGCGCCATTGGAAGAGCAGAGAGAGAGAGAGAGCGAGAGCAAGAAGGTGTCTGATTTTTTATTCGTTTATTTTTTTTCACTTTTATTTGTTTAAATAATTTCCGTACAATTTTTTTTGGGTATTTAAGAACCTACTAAATAGGCCACGACTCACATCATGGTTTGTTGGAACGGGCTCAAACATGTCTGATATTTATCTATACATATGCTTATACATATATACATTCATATATTTTTTTGATAACCATATATCTTGGAAAAGGTCTAGACTAATTTCGAAACCGGATACATTCATATAAATATATATATATATATATATATATATATATTTATATATATTTATAGATATTTATAGATATATTTACGTACCTATATATATACATGTTTATACATATATACATATACAAATCCATATATATATATATATATAAATATGTATATATATATATGGATATGTATGTCTGTGTATATATGTGTATATATGTTTTGTCTTTTTAATTATTTTTTATTTTTTAAATAAAAAATGACATGATTATATATATATATATATATATATATGATTATGAATATATATATATATATGATATGAATATATATACATATGTATATGTTTTTTATTTTTGTTATTACTTATTTTTAAATAAGAAAATAGCATGACTTTTTATTTCTCTACGTGGAAAGTGATGTGTCAACTAAGGATGGATTTGCCACGTAGATTTTCGAAACTATCCATCAACGTTCATGTTTAAAAATAAACTAAAGTACAAATGTCAAAATCGAAAAATTTTAGTTTTTTGATATAATTATATATATATATATATATATGCACACACATAATGTATATATGACATTAATTATTCCAAAATTTCAACGAAAAATAAATGATGTCAATCAAAATAATGAAAGATCATTATATGATTTATTTTTATATATTATATTCATGTTTTGAGTAGATAAATATGGTTTGTTCAAATCAACATCTGTATATAGTTTTAATTAGAAATATTTCAAGAACGAAATATTCAATTTATTTATGTAGAGATTGATATAATTTTATATTTTAGCATTAATCTTTTGAAAGTGGCAAAAAACAAAATCCACCAAAAAATTAGACACAAAACAAAGTAGATATATAACCTAATTATTATATTAGTTGGGTTGAAAATCCGAATCTAGAAAAATAATACAAGAGATAATAAAATTATATCTTTTTACTTTATTACTTAATAAACTCACATTTGATACACATTCATCAAATCAATTATATATCAATTTTTAAAATTTTTAATATAACTCGATTATTGTATATTTAAAATGGATAAGGTATATATATATATATATATATATATATATATTATAGTTGTTTATTTTTATGTATCGAACGAATCTGGTTCGTATATGACATGTGATATATATAAGTTGATACATATATTTGGTGTTAAAAATATACGAGTAAAGTGAATGTTATAATAGAGAAAATTATATGAGAGAGTGTAAAATCCGATTAATGAATAAACTGATATGTTTTACCAAAAGCTTTTTATTTGGGTTTCATATATTCCAAAATCCAAGAATTGTCATTAAATACTCTATTTATTAAGTGAACACAAAAAACATTAAAATAAAAAGTTAACGAAATAATGATATTTAATCATTCCATATTCATTCCTAAATTTGAAAAAGTATGAAAATTAGCGTGAAGAAATCGATACATAGGATCGTAAAGACACTAATCGGTTTAAATATTTGCATTTAATCGACTTGACTTTAATATTAATTTATTTTTCGATAATTACAAACAAAACGTCTCATAACAAATTATATTGTTGTCAATAAGTTTGGTACGGAAATCTGAATATTCATCTTAATTCAATTATATAATTTATATTAACATTTATATTTGTCCATTTAATTTTATTTTTTCGATTGACTAGCAAATTAATATATTCCATCAGAAAACAAAATTATAAAAATAATTCACCTTTCCAAAAAAAATTATTTTCAAAATAGTTATTTTTCTCTAATATATATAATAACAATAATATAGTTTTTTTTCTATTATTTATTTTTGAGAATCAAACTCTTTATTTTTTCACAAAAAACATAAAACTATAAAAATATTATAATGTTAATAGAATAAAAATATGTCAACTTAAAAATATTAAATAAATATATAAATTTCAATTTTCACTATTACTATTAACATTTCGATTTTGACAAATATGGTCAAGATATAATAAATAACTTTTCTACGCATATTTGCGTCATCTTATGATTTGAAATGGATCTATAAAAAACTGTAGAAATTATTAAGGTTTTAACGAGATATAATGTGAAATATCAGTTTGGTTGGATAAAGGTCTCCCAGATGTTAACGGGTTTTTGTTTCGAAGATTTTTCATAAACTTATCGAATCGAGTCTTAAAGTAAATACTCCGAGTGAAAAGTCATAGAGAAGGAGTCCTCTTAGAATCTATTTGGATCTGATAATTGATGATTTATTTGAAACTTCAGCTCCTACCATCGGGAACAAACCTCTGATTCTATCGAAAATGAATCTTTGTAAACTATTTCTCAAAAAAAATATTCACAAACTATTTTTTTTTAAAAGATACATAATTCTATTATCTACTATTTTTTTTAATTTAATAATATGAATTATAAATTTTAAAACAAAATATTTTATATTTAATTTTAAAACTAATAAAATTATTTAAAATCTATGGGTGAATACATTTATTATATAAATGAGTAGAAGTTATGTCAAATCTCTTTTGAAAAAATACATCATCTCATTATCTTAATAATTTTAAAAACTTATTTTGATTTAACAATATAAAATTGTTTTAATTCAGTTTTTTTTAAAAATTTCTTTCTAAAAATATTACTCCAATCTTTATTTTTAATCATTTTTTTAAAATACCATTATCTCAATATTTTTAAAAACTATTTATCATTTTGATTTAATATGAATTATAAATTCAAAAATATAATATAATATATTTAAGTTTAAAACTAATTATATTTTTAAAAAAAAATTATAACCCGCGCGATGGGCGCGGGGTTAAATCCTAGTATATATATAATACGAAAGCCAAGGTGCATTTGGTTTAACTACGTCCAGAAGGTCCTCAGATGGAAATTATTCGAATCTGAATTGGGAAATTTTTTTACCCTTATTTTTAAGGATCCAATCTTGGCTTACAACAGTTGTTATATGGGATTCAATATCTCTCCTAAACCGGAATGACCATCCCACCTTGACATGTTTTTTAGTTACAAATTCTCAAAATGCAGAAAAAGGAACACACACAATCAAATGCAATCCAAATATTATTCTTTTTTCCCCCCTCGTGTAACCGGAGAAAACAAATCGAAAACAATTCTCAAAGTGACGTAAAAAAAAAAGAAGAAAGAATGAGAATTACATTTCCAATAACCCCTCCACAAGATTTAACCCCAAAAAAAAAA